AAATTAAAGTCCCGGCTGACAATAACATTTCTTGTTTCACATATTTACTTTCACATCAAGATAAATTAGTTCAACAAGAGATATCGAACTTTATTTTAGCTGCGACCAAAATTAGAGATTAGATTTCTTTAATAATTTATTTGTGTATTTATTTTTATACATATTTATTTATTTGTGAATTTTAAGTACATTCATTCAAGTTATTTTCAAAATAGTGTCTTGTTAACAAAAACTCTTTATTGTTGCAAATACCCTATGTAACCTACTCTTTTTTTACACGGGAACAATAAAGTTCATTCATACACATGTTGTTTTTTTAATTGCAGCTTCATCTTATACATTTTTCACTTTGTGCTATTTTGCTGTTTACTTATCAACACTTGTGTTTAAGTATGCTCATAAATCACCTTCTCAGTTTGGCAGAATAGTCATATTGGCTTAAAAGATATTGCTTCAGACATTTTTTTAAATCATGATTATCTTGATATTTAGTGATAAAACATTCCATATTCTATCACTATGGTCATCAAATTAAAAGTGAAAACTCATGGTTCTTTTAACCTTTACACTATGTACCAGACTTAAAATCTCGGCCAAATTGTTCACTTCTTATAGTTTTCAATATTTCTGGAAAGGAACCCTAATTTTGGAGCCAACAGACAAAATCTGGGTAAGTTTTCAGCTTTTACTAAAAAAATTTGGCTATTTTTCCCAATTTTTTGCAGGAAAGTGCAGACTATTAACATGAATTTTTGGTGAAAAGAGGGAACGGTGATGAAAAGATTGAAAGGTATAGCTAAATTTAAGGTAGTTGACAATCTAGTAGTTATAATGCCTGAAGTTGGTGTCTCTCTTATCCGTATATATTATTACAAGTGATCCCCACCCCCGGTGACCTTTCGTCCAGTATATACCAATATGACGACTTTTATCAGTCTCCTCACTGATACAGACACCCACAGTCTAATTCTCCTTCTTCCTTGCGGTTAGACACCGAAAGTATTCGTAGAAATAGAACTCTGCCTGGGAGATTGCCAGAGTAGAGGGCTGTGAGACACCAAATCAGCTATCTGTCCTAACAGATTGCGTAATCAAGTTAAAAGCTTTGAAGAAATTATGAAGCCTTGCCTCGCACTTCTGTCGGTTATGACGTTGTTGTCTGGGCGATGTCACATCAATATCACCGCCATATAATTTATTATTCACCGAGGCACTGACAAAGCAAACGCGGTACTTTTTTTTTTGCCGTATGTCGAGAACTGGCTGGCTTACTATGCCCTCAATATAGATCATGTGACACTAACTTATGACCTATATACCGGTACATATGCAGCTGTATTGAATATCCCGATGTTAGCAGTTAAGCCTCTAGTAAAACGTTTTAAGGTTCAAATATATCGACATTTGCAAGATTTTGTTTCGGTAATATGCAAATTGGATTTAAGGTCACATTGGTGACCTCAGCTGACTTCCCAGCGTGTTGTGATTAATGACGACAACGCTGCGTGGTGAATGAGTTCGTTTGTTGACATTTTTATTTGCTCAGTCACGTGTCACTAGATTTCGCCGTCCTCACATTTGGGCTGTAGCCACACACACACACACACGCGCAACATGCCGACTTTTCGCACTGCAGATTTGATTATAAAGAAGCGCGATGGAGGCGAATTGGACGATGACGAGATCGATTGGTTTGTGAAAGGCGTCGTTGGAAAGAGAGTCCAAGAGAGTCAAATAGGTTTGTTTTTATTTTATTTTTTTTCAATTTCCGAGATCAAGTTAATAAGTACATTGATAGCTAAAGTTGCTGAAACCAGGGAGCTGTACAGTTCCCTGCTGAAACGTCCTTATTGCAGCTTTATTTTCGAGATATTTAAATTGCTGGATATAAATCGCTGAAGTGGGTCACACGCTTTTTATAAACGTGTTTGACGATGTGTAGGGGGTGTGTAGGTCACTTTCAATTTTATTCGCTGTCGCGCAACACTGATTTTCCTCGCTAGTCTGTCTTTGTGATGAAATACGTGCTGTCACTAAGTGCCGCAAACGTCACATTTAAAAAAAAAAAAAAACATATTCATAATAAAAAAATGTTACGTAACAAGGTAGTCATAAATGCGTTTTTAAAGATGGCGATGTGAATAAAACCTGCAACAAAACATGTAACTGTTTCGGTGTGTTTAAATCGTGTTCATTTCTATGTACTGTATCTGTGCCGGCGGTTCTAGGCAAGCGGACGCGTGCGTCACTACATACCCACTATCGCCATAGCACGCATACCAACGTTAGTGATCGGTAGCTACCATATCAGAAATGTGGCATGTGCTTCATATGGCTCGTTCGTTGCTATATCGAGTTATATTATGTCTGCCGTAGAAATACATGCATATTTTAAACAATTCACACGTGTCACGTAATATCATCAATGATGCGTGATCGGTAGCCATCACAACAGGGTACTGCAGGACATGTTAGTATCCCGATATCTGGAGTTCTTATCCATAACAGATGCCATATGTATACGATACTATTCAGTAACCCAAACTGTCATACAAGCTGCGATTTTTGTTGCTGTTTTTTGTGTAAAAACTCAAAGGCGGCGGCACAAAATTTTGCATGGGTACACTGTTATGCAATCACAGAGTTACATTATTTGTGGTTTAGTAACTGGATGTAGAAGAGATTTCATTTCCTCTTGGCAACTTGCCAGTTTGCTTCAAGTTTTATAGCCTGGATGTTGGTGGGGATCGCAGCAGTCCAGGGCGCCACCTACGCCAACTTGTCAGGCTAGGATGTCATGAGTTTTGTTGTGTATTGGTAACATTTAAATCAACAATCAAATCATCAATCACTATGACAACACAGAGAGTCCCTATTAAATGTTGTTTAATTGTTGCAGCATTTGATCTGTTGGAAGTACATATGAACAAAAAGTTGTATACTGGATAATTAAAATTAATTATTTTTATGATTTAAAAAACAAAAAATTGTAGTTTATAATATACCATGATTTGATTTGGCCTACAGTATTTGTCATTGAACAACAATAATTGAAAAGCATGTTTTTATCAATATTACATTTTTAAATTCTCATATTTGATATGTTAATTAACTTAATATATTCACTGTTTTTCAATGGATGTACTGAAAATGCATTAATTATTCCCTGGGTTTTAATTTTGCTATTTTCACTGATAAGTAAAATCCACTCAATTAAATCTACATGAATATGTAAAATAACAATAAAACTCATTGTTTCCTTGACAAATTTGTGACATTAAAACACAGTGAATATGCTCAAAACATCAAATCAGTGAAATTACATGTCAGTGACAATAAATGGTTTTACAGTATATAACATTATTTGTTGTTAGTTACAGGGTATTTATATTATTTGTTGTTAGTTATGGGGTATTTATATTATTTGTTGTTAGTTACGGGGTATTTATATTATTTCTTGTTAGTTACGGGGTATTTATATTATTTCTTGTTAGTTACGGGGTACTAGTATTTATATTATTTGTTGCTAGTTATGGGGTATTTATATTATTTGTTGTTAGTTATGGGGTATTTACATTATTTGTTGTTA